TAAATAAATATAGTTTTCTATGAAATTACAAATTTCTTAGCCTTTATTAAAGGATTGCAGAGAAGTGTAATCTCTGGGATTAATAGGAGAAACAAACACATGTGACTCTCCCCAAATACAAATATCCATCAGTAGTAAGGCCAAAATTAATACCCAGTTACAGGTTAGGGATGTAGCTCAGTGGTAGGGTGTATGCTTAACATGTGCAAGGCCCTGGGTTTGATTCCCAGCACCCCTCTCCAAATTCAAGTTACTCTTCCAGAGTCTAGGACTTTTCTATACTTCTAATGAAAAAGAGGCGAAGGGTCAGGTCAGGGTAGAGGAAATATGAAGTAGATTGAGAGCATGGGATTTCAAGTTTTTTTGTATACCTTGTATTGAGGGAAGCCTAAATGGCTAATCCACTCTGCAACCTCTTCTGGGCTCCATTTGAGAAACTCAAATTGTGGCTCCATCCTTTTTTGGGGCCTGGATTCTTCATCTTTAGGTACCAGTTCCTCCAACTCTTGAGACAAATCTACAACTTTCTTCTCATTAAAGGACTCTTTTAATTCCATTTGAGACTCTGAGAAATGTGAGTTTGAGTATTCACTGAAATCATCAAGCTGAAACAGTTTTGAGATTTTTTGAGAATTCTCATAATGTACACTAACTAAGTCTATTTTACTTCCTCTGTGAAAGCCTACTGTATAGTTGTTTCTAATTTTGTCAGTTTCTTTTACTGACTCTGGCCTGTTTTCTTCAGAAAATTCTATACGTGTTTCTCTTGATTTGGCTTCATATGGTAACTCCAGATTTTTCTCCTCAGTTGACTCTGTTTTTCTCTTCTCTAGAACTGGTTTGATCATCTGTGGTGGCACTTGACCTGTTTCCTTAGTTGGTTTTCTTGGTTCCACCTCTGGAAACTCCAATTTAGCCTGTTCTGGTGGCTCCAGGCCTTTCTCCTCAGCTGAGTTTCTCAGTGTTTCCTCTGATTCGAACTTCTCTGGCAGTGCTAGTCCTATCTTCTCATTTGATTTTCTTTGCTTCTCTTTTTGATCTGTTGGTTTAGTATCCTCTAGTGGCTCTGGAGCTTTCTCCTCAATTGACTCTCTTTGTGTTTCCTCTTCAACATCTGGTTTGATCTCCTGTAGCTGTACTAAACCAGTCTCTTTTGGTGTTCCTGGAATCTTTTCTTCATCTGACCTTTTTGTCTCCTTTGGAACTTCTGATGTAGTCTTCTCTGATGGTTCTAGACTTGTTTGGACAACTGGTTTTGTTGATTCTTCCTCATGATACTCTGATTCCAGTGGCTCTGGAACTTTCTCCTCAGTTGACTTTCTTGTTTTCCAGTCTGGAAACTCTGGTTTAGTCTGTGCAGATGGCTCTCTTCCTATCTCCTCAATTGACTTTCTTTTCATCTCCTCTGGAACCTCTGGTTTAGTCTCTTCTGGAGGCTGTAAGTGTGTTTTCTCAGAAGATATTTTTGGTTTCTGGTCTGGAAACTCTAGATTAATCTGCTTAGGTGGCTTTGTCTTTTTCTTATCAGTTGACTCATTTTGTGTTTCCTCTGGAATCTCAGGTTTGGTCATCTTTGGTAACTGAAGATCTACCTCTTCAATTGATTTTCTTGATTTCTCACTTGCAAAATCTGGTTCGGTTTGCTCTGGAGGCTCTAGGTCTGTTTCTTCACATTCCTCTCTAAGTGATTCCTCTGGAACCTCCTGTTCAGTCCCCTCTAGTAACTCTAATCTTGTCTCACTGGCAGTGGCCCATAAAACCTCATATTTGGTTCCCCCTGGTAGCTGTATATCTATTTCTGTAGCCCATTCTGTCATACCTGGTTTAGCCTCCTCTGGTGGCTCTAGGTCTGGTTCCTTACCCATTTCATCCACAGGGACCTTCAAATCCTTGTAAAACTTGCCTCCCTTTTCTCCCAGTGTCTCTGACTTCAATACTTGGGGGATACCTGGTTCGGCTTGAATAAATAGGTCGATTTGGGCTTCCTTGGGAATTTCTTCCTTAGGTGCCCAGTTTGGTTCCAGCTGTACATTCTTTTCATTATCTGGCTTCTCCTCTTTAAAGTCCTTTTCCCCAGTCACCAGTGGCTGTGGCTCTTGGTCAGTCTCTGAGGGCAGCTCCGCGCCTGCCTCTGCGATGGTGTACGGTTCAGCATCTTCGTACAATTTACGAAGTCCTGGCATTTCAGGTATCTTAGGTTCTGGCTTCTCATTTTCATCTGGGTCAGAATAGTAATCTTCTGAGACTTCAGACATTACACAGTTTAGCCAACGCGCCCAGACTTCCTAGCAACCCTAACTTCCGACAGCGTCTCTATAGTTACCACGTTTTTCCGGTAGTGTCTTCCTGAATCTTCTCCAGGTTTTGTTGATTCTTCCGAGCTCTGACTTTAAAGATTGCCCACCAAAAGCATGCAGTAACTCTCCCCGCGTCCCCGTTGCCTGCTTCCGCTGGCCAGTACTCCTGCAGCCTCCCAGAGCCAGCGCGTTCTTCCCGCTACTGCAGCGCGGCTCCTTCCGGCCCGGGGCTCTGTTCGGCTCTTCGGCTCACCGCGGCCGCGCTCGCCCAATTTCGGCTGTTTCCGGAACCTCTAGCTGCTGGCGGCGCAGACTCTCCCTGTGCGAGCTGCAGATGTCGGGCCGGCTGGCGGCTGAGAGGCCGGGCGTTTGGAGTCCCGCAGCCCGCCGAGGGTCGGCGGGCGGCGTCGGTGACGGCCCGGCAGTGGAGGGAAGCCGGGCGGCCTTCTCAGGTACGCAAGGCCCAAGCACTGGCGGGTGGGTTCCGCCCGGCCTCGGGGCCCCGCACCTCGGCGCGAGCCTCCGCGCGCTCTGCCCGGGCTCGCCGTGGAGCAGACTCACCTCGCAGCCCCTTGGCGCACAGAACTCCGCTGCTCTGCGGTGCGACCCCTGTCCCGCCGCCGCCGCCGCCGCCACCACCCGGGCCCTGGGTGCGCTCGAGCTTGTTTTCTGCTCTGTTTCGAAATGCCTCGGTTCCTGTCTCGCTTCCTTTCTCTGATCAGCCCAGATGGTCGTGACGAGGTTCTGCCCAGCTTCAGTCGGGTTCACGTCGCACCTCGGTTAGCTGACCACACCTCGGCTGCGCACTGACTTCGCTGCCCCTGTTTCAGCCTCTCCACTGACCCCCACCTCCGTCCCCTGCCCCGGATTGGCAGCATCGCCTTCCTCTGCTAGAGCCCGCTTCGCCCTGGCTTCCCTGCACGTAGGCCCCTTTAGCTCGAGCCATCCTCTCCATCTCCTAGAGAGGCAGAGATGAAAAGCAAAGTCGTAATAGGTAGGCTCTGAGGTCTAGAATGAACACAGTAGTTAGTGCAAAGGCAGGAAATAGCGGCTGCAATAGGAATTTTGGCGACCTCCCTCGTTCTCCAGGGTTCTCATTTTTCTTGTTTGAGGCATTGTCTCCAAGTCTACTCATACAAGTTCCTCCATGTGAATTACTTCAGGGTCTAGAGATGAAAGGGACAGTTTGTCCCACTATTACCTTTTAGCCTCATGATCACCACACAGGAGGCAACAAAAGAGATGCTCTTTGAAATACAGTGATAGAAGGGAGAGAAGTGGTTACTCTAAAAGGCAAATAATTTTCCAGGTCTGAAGTGAAAATGGACACCATAAAGTACGGTGGTTGAGGTGTTACTGTGGAACCAGGGTGTTTGGATTAAAGTCTGGATCCTCACTTTAACTGACCTTGGGCAAATCTCTGCCTGAGTTTCCCTCCCTTAAGATGTGGTTAATAACAGTACCTGCCTCTAGGATTGTTGGGAGGATTGTCTAAAGCATTTGGCCATGAAACCCAAGGTATACACTGTGATCAGTTACCCATTATGAGTATAAGGTCTGTTTTTGCTCAATTAAACTCCCAGTGATGCCAGGGGAGGTGTTCCTGGATGTATCTCTTCCAATATGGTGGCTTTTCTACTTGTATTCCAAATATCTCCCATTTCCAAATTTTACACACACACACACACACTCACACTCACACACACTGTGAACTGTCCAGCTCTTTCTCATGACTATTTTTTTACTTTAAAATATGTAACAATTTTTGCCTCTTTTCTTTTGAACTTTTAATGCTTTGTATTAAATTTAATACCGAGGGCATATATTTAATATTATAGCAGTAGAAATTCTAACTACAATTTCTGAAAGATTAAGCAAATAAGCTCTATAAAGGTGCATAAGTCTCATATCTGTCCCCTGTGTGTGCCAGTATTTGTTAAGTTAAGCATATTTTAATTTCTCATTAGGTCTTCAGTGTCTTTATGAAAACATACCCAAGCATTTGAATAGAAAGCCTCCCCCACTCCATTGAACCCAGGGCCTTCACACTGAGTTACATCCTCAGCCCTTTAAAAAAATTATTTTGAAACTGGGCGTGGTGGCTCATGGCTGTAATCCCAGCACTCTGGAGGCTGAGGCAGGAGGATCGCTGAGAGTTCGAGGCCAGCATGGGCTACATAGTGAGTTCAGGGCCAGCCTGATCTACAAAGGGAGACCCTGCCTCAAAAAACCAAGAAAAAAAATTATTTTGAGAAAGAGTCTTGTTAAACTGCCTAAGCAGGATTCAAATTTGCAATCCCCACGCCCCACCCCCCTCTCCCATGTGCTGGGATTACAGACATGTGCTGTGCCTGGTTTAAAAAGAAAGGTTTTAGGAGTATTTTAGGAATATATTGGAAGTTAGTGGAGTTTTTTTGAGAATCTCCCCTACCCTGACTTCTTCCTCCCAGGACATTGGTAGAGAAGCTTTCAGTTATTTTTCTTTCTCTGGTCCTCAGAAAGCACGATGATACTTGATTTCTCTTTATGTCATGGACGTGTTTGTGTTAAAGTCTAGGATAAACTCTTATTCTTGAAGTAGGCTTTGTTGCTAAGAAAATAATAAGAATGATAACTTACATATATTGAATATTTACTGTGGGCCAGAATGTGGAAAAAATTTGCATTTATTTTTTGATTTAATCTTGGCAACAATCATTTTCTTCCCATTTTACAGAGAAGCAAAATGTAATTGAGAGAAGTTAACTCGTCTTAGTTTGCTCTGGAGTTTTTACTGTCCATACGAAATCATCTCTTTGTTATAATACAGTTTACAGTTATTTCTTTGTTAATCAGTTATTTGATTAACTTCAGGACAAGTTGTGGTCTTTGTCCTTAAGGTGTTTTCAATTTGTTGAGATGGAAGTTCCACAGAAAACATAGATAATTCAAAATGTTATATAATTGGGTTCTGTTTTATTGTAGTTACTTTTGTACTTGTCCCCCGAGAAGTCATCTTGAATGGAATCTATCTTGCCTGCTTTCCCCCTAGAACCCCTGATGTATTTCAGAGGTCCATAAATACTGGCTGAATTGGATGGTGAAAGTAAGTCTCAATGAAAAGGTCTGAAGGAATATCCAGTGCACGTGAGGAGTTAGGCTGAAGTAATCAAGAATGCACCTTTGGTTAGAGAAGTGATTATGAACCATCAACTATTGAGCACCCTCAGGGGCATTCTGACAATGTCTGAAAACATCTTGGTTTGTTAGAATTGAAGGCAGCTATTACTGAAATCTATTTGAGTATAGGCTAGGGGTGTTGCTACATCCTACAGTGTGTAGGATAGTTCTGCAATGAAGACCTGGCTCCAAATGTCAGTCGTATAACTTCTGAGAAACCCCAAGTTGAGGTTAACCTGGGTTTCCAAAACAGCTGGGAATGCTTGGCCCAGAGTACTTGGAAGTAAACCTAAAAAAATGTCCCAAATTAGGTGTTTGGATCCTTCTGCCACTTCCCACTAGAAAATGATCAAGTGAGTGAGCAGTGGAGATATTGAGAAGGAACGAAATTGACATACTTTCTTAGAGAAAACAGCACTAAAAATGAGGTTGAATATTCAGCTGTTATGGAATTAAGAGTATTTTCAGTACTTTATTCTTTCAAAGCAGGAATTTGTCATTATAAAGAATAACCATAACTTATTTTTCAAAAGTTCTCTGCAGAGGGTCTTCATGTTTGTCAGATGAGGTTTTGCTAAAAAGAAAGAAAAGGGTTTATATTCTTAAACCACTCTGCAGTGGTGATGGTGTTTTTTTTTTATGAGCTGTAATTATTTTTAATAGTTTTTTATTTGGGGCCTCTAGGTTCTCCAGTCTCCCAGAGGAAAACGAAATCATTCTTTGTATCATGAGACTCTCTGAGGCATACATGTTGCATCACTTAAGGCAGGTAATAAGTGATTTTTTTTTTTTAAGTCTAGAGAGGTTGGAGAAAATAAAGATCAAGATCTGTTATGACTGAAGTCAGCAAAATCATAGATTGTTGTGTATGAGCTGTACTGCGTTTAGATGTTGAGCACTGGAAATGGGTCAGGTAACTTTGTTCATGGTTTTGATGTAGGACTATGTGCAGTGTATCTTTGAAGTGAGGGAAATGTTCCATATCTGTGGCTATTTCAATTTAAATTAATTAAATTAATTAAATTTGGTGGCTACCATATGGGATAGTGCAGAAGGGTAGAAGTTTATGCTGAAAAACCTTTATGCTTTTTAGTTTTCTACTGTGCTTTTATGTCAAAACATTAGAAGTTAGGCCAGAGATTTAGCTCAGTGGTTCCAGCACCCGCCTCACAAGTGCAAGGTCCCAAGTTCCATCCCCAGTACCAAAAAAAACCCCCCAAAAAACAAAAATTAGAAGTTTGCCTTCCTGCAGCTCTCTTTTTCTGTATGATTCTTGAGTCTTAGGATAGTTGGTAGTCATGTCAAAATTCATGCCATACAGTACAACCCAAGATGTGGATTCCGAATGACCACTCAGGACTATGTCCCACTCTTAAAGGTTGAAGAGAAATTGGGTCACATGGTCACTGGATTTGGTTGGGACATAAAATTCAACCAATTTGTTTTTGTTTGAACTTTTTGGTTTATAACCACATAGCCTGCTTTTGGTTCCTCTGCTCTGAAATAAGAGGCTAGGCTGGTTATCTCTTTGCAGCCTGTTTAGTGAAGGGGAAGTCTTTTGAGACCTGTTCAAATGAAACTCTGACCTGGTATTCAAATCTTTGGAAAAAACCTGCTTTTTGGTTCTCTTTATAGAGAAAATATGCAAAACACAGTAAGCTTGAATCTGTAGCATGATCAAAATGTCTGAATCCACACTCTGGTAAGTAACATCAAAAGAAAACTCACATTTTAAGAATTGTCAAATATAAAATAAATTACTTTAAGAAAGTTTCTTTTTACTGCCTTACTTTTGATTTAGAGGTTGTGCAATTTGTTTTTGGTTTTGGGGTGTTTTTACTTTTTTTTTTTTCCTGGTACCGGGGATCGAACTCAGGACCTTGTGCTTGCAAGGCAGGTGCAGCGCCCCTAAGCTAAATCCTCAGCCCTTGTTTTTGTTTTTTGAGATGGTTTCTTGCTATGTAGTTCATGCTGGTCTTGAACTCATTATGTAGTCCAGGCTGGCCTCAGACTCATGGTGATCCTCCTGCCTCAGCCTCCCAAGTGCTGGGATTACAGCCATGCACCACTACACCTGGTGTAAATTATTTTTCTTAAGCTTCCATTTTTCTTTCTCTGTTTATGGTTTCCAAGATTTTGGCCAGCCAGGAACCATGGCAATGATTTGTCACAGTAAAGAGTAATATTCTATTATTATTTGGTCTTTAAAAATTGACACGTTTTATTTCATTCTACACTTGATCTTAGCCAAAAGGCTGAGAAATGATTTTTAAAATTTCATTCTAAATAATATACATGATATTACTACGATAATAGGTTTTTTCTAATCATACTAAAATAAGTGTTTATGCTTTAAAAAAAATTTTTTTTTGGTACTAGGGATCGAACTCAGGTCCTTGTGCCTGGGCAGCAGATGACAAAACCACTGAGCTAAATCCCCAGCCCTGATACTCTTAATAAGAAAGAAAAGGCAGAAGTTTTAAACTTCTATTTTGTTTTCATTTTATTCACTAAATTGTCTTCAAGTTGAAATGGATAAAGAGGCGATATGGATTTCTGTTTTCAGTAGTGGCAGACTACTAGGACATTGAGACCCGCTCTCTTTCTGGGGACATTTAGAAAATATGCAGAAACTATGAACGTCTGCTTGAAGACACTGGTGAGATAGCAAGATAATGAATTTTCAGGAAATTCTTGAGTGAGGTATAAAGGTAGAGTTCCAAGGATGAGAGCTCTGTATGAGTGGGGAGCCTAAGAGAAGAGACTGTGAAAAGTGCCTGTCTGGGCTACAGTGACAAAGATTAATGCTGAGGACTTAGCAAGTAGGAAAAACCTAGTAAAGTCTATTTTCTCTATGAAGACTAGGAAAGGCAATAGCCTAAAAGAGGGCTTTTAAAGTTTGGATCTTGAATGTCCCCAAGGCCTATGTGTTAAATTCTTGATCCTCAGAGTGGTGCTAGAAGCTTTAAGAGTTGGGGCCCAGTGGGAAGTCCTTGGATCCCTAGAGGGTGTGCTCTCAAAGAGCCTTGTGGGACCCTAGTCCTATCTCTTTTTCCCTCTCTTCCTCCCAACTCTCCCCTCCCCGTGTGCTGCCTCTTTTGCTTCCTGGCCCCAAGGTGAGTTGTTTCCCTTTGTCACATGCTCCCATCTTGATGTGTTGCCTCACTCAAAGCAATAGGGCCAACTGATGTGGACTAGAAACTTTAAAACTAAGCCAAAATAAATCTTTTCTCTTTACAACTTGATTATCTCAGGTATTATAGTAATAGAAAGTTAACTAACAGAAGGCCCTTGTAGGGACTGCAGCTCAGCTTCAGAAACAGATCTAAGTTCTGAGTTAGATTAAGGTGACCCCAAGATGCTAGTACTCCTAGGTGTCTGCTAGAAACACAGGCAGAGATCTTCCCTAAAGGATCATTTTAGACTTCACATTATTTTCACAAACAATTTTGGAAGAAAAGTTTCTGGCAAGTGTCAAACATAACCAGACCCATAACGTGAAGAGAGTATGTGAGCAAAAATCAGAAGAAGCAACAGACAGTAAAAATGGATCCATAGCGATCCAGATTTTGGAATTACTAATTAAAGCTGTTGTAAAACCAAAGCAAGAAGAAATAGAGAGCCAGGCATGGTGGTACATACCTGCCTGTAATCCCAGCACTCAGGAAGCTGAGGCAGGAGGATCGTAGGCAGGAGGAGATGGCTGCAAGTTCAAGGCCAGTCTTGGCTCCATAGTTCAAGGTCAGCCTGAACTGCAGAGTGAGACCCTGTCTCAAAAATAATAAATAAAGAAAAATTTAAAAAGGAAATCTCGAAAGTAACCAGAGGAAAAACAGTCTGCCTTAAAAGATGTGATAATTAGATAATTAGACTGACTTCTGACTTCTGTACAGACTAATGAAAGCTAGATTGTCTTTCAGTACTAAAAGAAAAGAACTAGCAATACAGAATTTTTTTTCAAGTGAAAATATTCTTCAGCAGCCGGGGATTTAGCTCAGTGGTTCCACTGCCTGCCTCACAAGTGCAAGGACCCGAGTTCAATCCCCAGTACCAAAAAAAGAAAAAAGATGTATTTAGATAATCAAAAACAAGATTTATTACCAGCAGACTCACACCAGAGGAATAACTAAATCTTTATTCAGAATCAAAATGATCCCAGATGAAAGGAAAATAGCAATTTAATACCTCTTGTTAACATATGTGCAAAAACTTGTCAACAAAATAACAGTGAATTTGGAAATTCACGGCAAGTTGAATATTTTTTCTTTCCTTTTTTTTGAATTTTGAGGCAGAGTCTCACTGTGCAGCCTTGATTTCACTATGTAGCCCAGGCTGGCCTCTAATTTGCAGTAATATTCCTGCCTCAGCCTACCAAGCGTTGGAATTACAGGCATGGGCCACCGCGTCCAGCCCAAGTTGAATTTTTTTAGGAATGCAAATTTGTTTAAAAATTTTTTTTTTTGTACCGGGGATCAAACTTAGGACCTTGTGCTTATGAGGCAGGCATGGTGTCGTGAAGCTAAATCCCTGGCCCTGTTTTAGTTTTTTTTGGTACCGGGGATCAAACTCAGGACCTTGCACTTGCCAGGAAAGCGGCAGAACCACTGAGCTAAATCCCCAGCCCTAATATTTTTTAAAAAATCAGTGTAAATCACCGTTACACTACACTTGAGGAGAAAAATTATAATCAACAGATGCACACAAAAGTGTTTGATAAAATTCAACATTCATGTATGATTAAAAACTGGCAAACTAGAGATAAAAGGAAACTTCTTTAATTGGATAAAACATATCTACAAAATAGCTACAATAAACATCAAACTTAATGGTCAAGTTTGAAAGTTTTCTTCTTAAGATTAGGAATAAGGTTTTGGTTATGTACCCTTACCATTTCTATTTATCACTTTCCTGAACACTAGCTATTTCACTGAGGCCAGAAAAATAAAAGATTACAGAGGGATTCTGTTGAATTTGTTGTTTGTAGGTGAAAACTGTGTACATGGTAAATCATAAAGAATCTACAGGTGGGCTGGGGATTTAGCTCAGTGGTTCCACCACCTGCCTCACAAATGCAAGGTCCTGAGTTTGATCCCCAGTACCCAAAAAAAAAAAAAAAAAAATCTACAGGTTGGAATTAATTGTATTGTAATTAATAAGTAATTTTGGCAGGACTGCTGAGTGTACAGCCAATATACAGAATTGTATTATATTTATATAATCTCAGCAACAAAATAAAAAATAATGTAAAAATATTATTTACTGCATTAATCAGTTTTTTATCACTCACAGAATGCCTGAGACAAGCTACTTGTGAAGAAAGGAGGTTTATTTAGGTTTCAATTTTAGAAGTTCAAAGTCCAAATGGCAACATGGACTCTGTGGCAGGCACTGTCCCTTGGCCCCATCATATCATGGTGGGTAGCAATGGTCACATCTAGAACAGGAAGCAGAGAACAGAAGGAGCTAGGTGCCCTCCTTTTATAATAGCCTTGTAGGGAGAACTCAAGGGGTCAGATGAGTTCTACCCTTAAGACTAGATTCCTGAGGACCTAAGGTCCTTTCACTACAGCATACCTCTTAAAAGTCCATACATCTTCCATTACCTCTACTCTGGGGTTCAAGTTTCTTTTTAAAAATTTATTGATTTTTTATTAGTACATGTTTATTGTACAGAGTGATTATATTCACTGTGGGGAATTGGTACATGTATATAACATATCTTAATTATTTTTACTTCACCTTCCTCCTCCCCCTCCTTGGAATCAAGTT